ATAATCCATAATAACGCTTCCTCCAGTGAAAAAGTGCATCTCCTGTTGTCTCTCACGTATGTGTTTAGAGCTGTGCTTGTTTATTGTGCTTGATCTGTGCAGATTTCTCTCCTGATTCAGACCAGAAAACTTTTTCACTGGAGGAAGCGTTATGGATTATGGAGTCGTATTTTAGTTAAAAACGTCTTAATGCTGGCTTTGTTTCTTCTCCAGATGTTAACTGATGGACTGGAGTGCTGTGGATTATTGTGATGTTTTTATCAGCTGTTTGGACTCTCAATCTGACGGCACCCATTCACTGCAGAGCATCCATTGCTGAGACACTGATGCAGTGCTACATTTCTCCAAATCTGATGAACATCTTGGATGGCCTGAGCATTGTATGACTTGAATGTAGTGCATGAGTCATATAGTCTACTATTATGATGCTGCAGAAAGAAAATGCCATGGAAACATCTTCATCATTCTGCACAGTGCAATGCATCATACTATGAACCTGAATGCATTACACATTCTACACACTGAACAGATTCTATTAAAGCAGTTTATTTTTCAGTTGTACTCTTTAAACTCATAGATGTGACTGTTCACGTTCCTGCAGGAGCTGATGGAGCAGACACGACCTCGGGTCACCGCACCAGCAGGACGACAAACGAGGACATCTGGAGCTAAAACTACAGTACAGCTTCTTCGAGACGTCAGAGCAGCAACACACACTATTCACACTCGCAGGAGAACATGCAGATCTCAGTGCCAAGATCGTCAAGACACGAGTACGTTTCTGTTTGGACTGAACAAACAAGACTTAAAAACATCAAAGCAAGAGTCATTTACTGTAAAGAAAAGCACTTTTTCACATCTTGTGAATTCAGTGTCTCATGATCTTCAGAAATCATTCTAATATGCTGATTTGCTGCTCAAGAAACATTTCTGATTATCAATGTTGAAAACAGTTGTGCTGCACAATATTTTTTTTGAAACAGTGATACTTTTTTAACACTTTTAATCATCAGACATGCATTAAATTGATCAAAAGTGACAGTAAATACATTTATAATATTAGAAATTTCTATTACAAATTAATGCTGTTAAAGTTAACTTTCTATTCATCTGTGAATCCTGAAAAATAAAATGTATCATGGTTTCTACAAAAATATTGTGCAGCACAACTGTTTTCAACATTGATAATAATCAGAAATGTTTCTTGAGCAGCAAATCAGCATATTAGAATGATTTCTGAAGATCATGTGACACTGAAGACTGGAGTAATGATGCTGAAAATACAGCTGCGCATCACAGAAATACACTACACTTTAACAGATATTCACACAGAAAACAGCTGTTTGAAACGGTAAAAATATTTCACAATATTACTGATTTTACTGTGTTTTTTCTCAAATAAATGCCGCCTTGATGAGCAGGAGAGACATGAAAACATAAAAAAACTTAACTAAAACTTTTGACCTGTTATTTTTTAAAATACAAAAATAAAGTAAAAAAATAAAAATAAAAAAAAAATGACACGTTAAATGTTGATTTATTTTACACGGGGGACACAAATGGCACCTATTTTGTAAAATGAAGCACCTGTAACACAATTTAGATTCTAGCCTGACTGATATGAATGTTTCTGATTTGTCTCCAAAAATGCATTTAAAAACTTGTCCAGAAACAAAAGAGAGCCAGTAATTATATCACTGCCAAAGCAAAATGTAGCTCTGAATAAAAGGCAGGCGTTTGTCACAGTGAGCTGAATAATGCTGTATTAGAGCGACACCTTGTGGTGAAACAACCACAGAAACATTTTATTTAGTAAAGACAAGGAGTAAAGATGAACATTTTGTTCTCTTAAAATGTTTATTATCGTTACACTCGTGTTGGGACAATGAATATGAGTAATAGTTCATGGTTTCCAGTGTACACCAGATCATTACACAAACAGAAGCACACAGACGCATGTGTCAGCGTCCACATGCAGGCATGCGTGTTCGCTCAAGTAACACATAAATTAGCACAACGGTGGTTTCATAAGGGTTTGTCGCAGATTCCCTGTGAGCATCTCAAAGCAAGAATCATTCACTCCCACAATCTGTCACTGTAATTGCGTATTAGGATCCAAAAGCGTCACCAGCAACACTCAGCTCTTCAGGGTGTGATATTTTCAGTCATAAATGCCGCTGGTGTCTCGATATTCCTGCTGAAGAGGAACTAGATTGTGTTCAGAAGATCTGAGGAGTCAAATACAGCAGGTTACAGTCACATGATCTGCTTTAGAGAGGTCACTTTTGTTTTTCGTCTCTTTCAAATTGGAAAATAAGGAGAGATCGTGCACTGACACCAGCACTGAGAACCATAAATTCAATTAAAATGCTCATTTTGTCATCATTTACTCGCCTTCATGTCATTCCAAAGTCGTTTGACTTACTTTCTTCTGTGAAACACAAAAGGAGACGTTTAGCAGAATGCTCACGCTGCTCTTCTCAGTGAAAGTATCATGAAAAACTTAATGGTTTGCAATGACATGCAAGTGAGTAAATATAGACAAAGTGTGCATTTTCGCATGAATTATTCCTTTTAAAGGAATAGTTTATACAAAAATGAAAATGTGCTGTAAATGTGTTCACCCTCAGTTCATCTGAGATCAAGATGAGTTTGAAATGCAGCATTGCATCAGTGTCTCAGCAGTGGATGCTCTGCAGTGAATGGGTGCCGTCAGAATGAGAGTCCAAACAGCTGATAAAAACATCACAATAATCCACACGTGCTTGACCTGTGCAGATTTCGCTCCTGATTCAGACTTAACATCTTAATGATGGATTAGTTTCAGCTTTTGTCTTCTCCAGATGTTAACTGATGGACTGGAGTGCTGTGGATTACTTGTGGATTATTGTGATGTTTTTATCAGCTGTTTGGACTCTCATTCTGACGGCACCCATTCACTGCAGAGCATCCATTGCTGACTGATGCAATGCTACATTTCTACAAACCTGATGAAGAAACAAACTCATCCTAATCTTGCACAGCACATTTTCAGCTGATCAATTTTTGCATCAACTATTCCCTTAAATCCGCGCTTTCCTGCACTTGCACATGAGATTCAGCGTTTCCTCGCAGCTTTGTAAATATAATAACTTTCAGTCAATGGCACCAGATTCATTAAACACTACTGTGTGTTTGATTGTATAATTTGTTAGTAAAAAAATACAATTTTACAAAAATGAAAGACAAAAGAGAATGCAAAAGGCAAAAAAAATGTCTCTTGGTAGTTGGCAGAGCAGCACACATTTGGTCCGTCTGTGACGACGTGCATGAAAATATGAGAAAATTCATGATGTTCTCCAACTTATATGTGGTCCTGATTGGTGTCGGTAGGTGTTAAGTCACATTAACACTGCAGTCGCTCACATTAGGCCTTGTTGGTATGATTCCACAGCATGTGAAACGCAGACAATGACGAAGATGCAGATGTTTCATTTTCTATTTTAACATTTCTGCGGCAGATCTTCAGGGGAAAAAAAACAACGATGAAGTGCGATGCCACTGGAATCCAATCCTGCTAAAACATCGGAGTCTGTAGGCGTCCTCCCAAATCCAACCGGGCTCATCATTAGTAAATCTCTCTCATTACTAGTCTCACGGGTTGGTTTAAGTGTGTCAAGCTGTCTGGCTCTTGTCAGTTCAGTGGCGTTTCGTCGATTGGCTCTCTAAGGGTGTGTGTGTGGGTGTGTGTGTGTGTATACATGAGTCCGGTCCTTTAGCAGCATTTCTTCTTGCGTTTGCTGCTCTTACTCAGTTTGACGACTTCGCTCTGCTTCTGCTGTTTGGCCACAGACTCTTTCCGGACCTTCAGGACGAGCTCAGTGATGCAGTTGAACATCTGATGCACAGACAGACACAATAACTCATCAGTGAGACAGTCTGAATCAATAAAAACGGTCACACTTTATATTAGGTGGCCTTAACTACTATGTACTTACATCAAAAAATAAGTACAATGTGCTTATTGCGTTCATATTGTATTGCAAAACACTTTTGCTGCTGTTGAGGTGTGATACGGGTAAGGTTAGGGACAGGTTTGGTGGTATGGGTAGGTTTAAGGGTGGGTTAAGGGATGCATGGGTCAACGGTGTAATTATAAATGATGTAATTACAGAAATTAATTACAGATGTTATTACATGCAGGTATCTTTAAAAATATAAGTACAATGTAAAAACATGTATGTACACAATAATTGCATTGTACCAAATGATTAATTTAAATGTAAGTACATAGTAGTTAAGGCCACCTGATATAAAGTGGGACCATAAAAACAAAACAACGCATTTCTGAACATTAGATGTTTGCTTACAATTATTTGAAAAAAGGCCCATACCGTACACTTTTGTAGTATACAGTATTATTTTAGTATCATTGTGATACTATTATAGTTTATTAAAATTCTGAATTTATTTCTGTTTTTCTACTTTCCATTTTTGTTTTAATTTTAGTTAAAGGTTTATTAATTTTGTTGCGTTTTGCCATTTTTTAAATATTTAGTTTTTTGCTTTTTGAAATAATTTTTTCATTTAATAATTAGTTTAAGTTTTACTTATTTTAATACATAATACTATTATAGTTTTATTAATATTTTGAATAATTTTTTTGTCTTGTTGTGTTTATAGTTTTATTGTTATGCGTTTATAGTTTTAGCTTTATAAAGTTTTCGTTTTACTTATTTTAGTACATTAAGTGAATCTTAAATGTATCTATTATAGTTTTATTAATTTTAATTTTTTTTATTTTTCATGCTTTACAATTTTTTTGTTATTTATGTTTTATTTTTTAGAACCTCAAGTCAATCTAAATGAAATGAGATATGTTGCCTTGGCAACTTGCTGAGTTTTCTATATTTTTATAATATAATATAGATATTCAAATTTTTTATTTAATTTCAAGTGAAGGACGTTTTTATGCTCTCAGTTTCAGTTACTGTAATAACTCTGGAAGTACATTAATTTTTTCCTTTAAAGGTGACATATCATAAAAATCTGACTTTTCCAGGTTTTAAGTGCTATAATCAGGTCCCCGGTGCATCTACCAACCAAGGAAACGTGATAAAGATACATATTGTAAAAAGGGGCATAATATGTCTCCTTTGAGTCTACTGGTTAAACATCCCTGACGCGGTTATAGACCTGAACTGATCTAAATAATGACTCTATTGTCCCATTTCAGAAAGTGAATTTGTTTCATAACTGATGAATTTTACAACATTAATACTGTTACTTTCCTGTTTGTTACTGTGAAACAATCTGTATTGCATAAAGCGCTAGAGATATAAATATGACTTGCAGCACCAAAACAGCAGATATATTTCCTATTCCCCAAAAGTCTTTAGTCGGGAAAGGAAGATTCTGAAGGCTCTAGTATGTCACACAAAACTCTTTCATTACAAAAGAACGAGACAAATGCTGCTTTTCATGATATGACTCCATTGAAGGTTTTATTTTCTGTAGCATGATGATGTTTAATCTAACCGTGTTTGAAAAGCTTGACTTACGTCCTCGACGTTGACGTTCTCCTTGGCGCTGGTCTCAAACAGTCGGATGCACATCTGCTCAGCAAACTTCTGCGCGTCGTTGGTCTCCACCACTTTAGAGGCGGGATCGTCATTCTTATTACCCACTGAACCCAGAGCAGAGGAAAGAGCGTTAAAACCAAGCATAACCAATAACCACAACAACAAGAGCTCCATATGAACCGAGAGCAAAGTGCCTATCATTCAGAACATGCTGAAAGGCTGAATCTGAAACACCATTAAGAAATGCCAAGCTTATATTTCATCCCAAAAATATAAAAAATTAAAGAAAAGATTGAAGATAAAGAAAATTATGGCTATTATTAGGACCACTATTTTTAATATGAAGAGTTCATTTGCAAAAACCGATAACTCCATTTTTATTTTATTTTCAGAAATCACGTTTTTTTATTGCGCATTCCAAGTAATATCAATCAAACTGCAGTACTTGAGTTGTTTTGATTAAGTAATAATAATAACTTAAACAAATACAGGTAATTTACAAAATTAAAGTTAATTGAAAGTGTTTTTTTTTACAAATTAAAAGTTGGTTTTATAGCAAAAGCAGATAACTCCACATTTCATGTTTTAGAGTTTAGAAAACACTCGTTTAATCTTTGTAATCTCCTCAGATGACAATGTAGATGCCTGACAAACGTTGTTGTTGTTGTGATCATAAACTGTATGGATGTGATTACACGCAATACACGGAGCTTTTCCCTCAAAATTGTAACGCGCTGCTTTTGCAAGCTTCCGTGAAAACGTTTCAGATTTTATTTTCCTTTTTCGCCCTGAAGAAGATATCACTGGTTCATCAAGTTTGTCGAAATGATCCTTGATCACTTTTAGTCAGCT